CAATCACATTTCCAGAAGATTTCCTTGGGAGCAAGTTCTCAATGCAAACTTTAGCACTTGTCATCCCCGATGTCCGACCAAATTTCCCAAACTCTGTGTTAATCGGCATGAACACCCTTGAAGCTTTGTACGATCAGTTCTCCACCAGTGATTCATCCACCTTCCAACCCAGCTCCTATGGTTATAAAGTTGTTCTAAAAACTCTTCAACTGACGTGCCAGAAGGACTGCCACAGCAACCTTGGACTTGTTACTCTCTGCAGTAGGACACCTGTGGTCATTCCGGCAGGCCATACAGTCATTGTCGAGGGCTCTGCCAAAGTTTCTGCACCCAGATCCCAACAGTCTGCTATCCTTCAGCATCCGGAAAGAGGCCTCCCGAGTGCTTTATGTGTGAGCAACTGTCTTGTTGATCTACCATCTCGTTCACCCTACAAGTTACCTGTCGTTGTTAAGAACGAATCGGGGCAGGACGTAACGATACCACCATCAGCTGTCATTGCCGAACTTGAAGCTGTCGATTGTACCATCCTCTCTCTCCCACCTACTCCAGCTGCCTCCACTACATAACCATTCAATCAACCGCGCTTTATGGACATCATACAACCTCAAAATAATTCATACTGGACTTTGAAGTAGTTTGGACTCTGTTCACACCCTGGGCAACCAGACCCAGTTTCGCAAGGACATTTAACTGAATTGTTTGATTTTTGTTGCTGCAGCTGTTGTATATTTTGTTGTCTCACTTTCTACCTGTATAATACACTTTATTCATTTTCAACAAATCCCATGTCTCAATTTACTGCCTCTGCCTCCAGTAGCCTTACTTAGAATCTTCTGATCATTCAACTTTGCTAATTACACATAATAATCATCAGTTATTACATGATCATAACACAGTTACTACATGGTTATTACAGTTACAATCATTTCATATTCGTTACACTTTTATTACCTAAGTAATAAGCAAACACTTGTTACAAACAGATGAGAACAGGACACAGTGACACTTGTTTTTCTTGAAGCAGAACTTCAGTGTCCAGTCCAAACTGAGGCTGTTGGAGGAACTGAACACAGCCCAAGTCTGATGTTTGTCCTGACGAGACCCGAGTGACTCTTCATTTACAAAGCCACACTGAGGAACCTTCTGGGTTCCCTTTGTAAAGATTGTAAAAGTGTGTTTTTCTTGACAGATGCAGATGGTTTTCTAATGTGACTCTTTGTGATTTGTGTGTTTTGTGTTGTTGTGTTGCTGCTCCTTGGACACGTGTCTCTTGAAAAAGAGCTTCTGAATCTCAGTGGGACGTCCTGGTTCAATAAAGGTCAAATCAAATCAAGTGTTTCCTCACACGCAGCCAAAATGAGCCGTTTGTTTGTGTCAGTGGAAGTTGATGATGGGCCTCCTGAGGACCTTCACTTGTTTGTAAAGACGATGTGTCTGATCACATCAGTGTCTCCGCTTCACTCAAGTGAAGAGACGCCACACACTCTTTTTTACACTAAATGTCTTCAGTCCAGGAACAATTCATATAAAAGGCCACGACTTCTTTGTGAAGTTTAGGCTTCTTTTTGATTTGTGGCTTTGGAGACAAACTTGTTCCCAGAATGTTTGATTTGACTGAAAGTGTCACAGCTGTAGACAAACTCACACAAACAAGACACAAAAACCACCGGAGTCGACTCAGGAGTTGAATAAACTTCAACAGAATCTGAAAGCTTTATAATCCAGGCAGCTCTGGAAAATGGAACAACAGATGTAGAACAAGGCAGATTATTGTCCACATATGTCCACAATAGAACTGGGACAGTTTCTGTCAATAAAACACTAAAGAACATTTCAGGGAAAAAGAAAAAGTGTTTCTGAATCCAAGAATGGTTTAGTGGGTGTAGAGTCCCACATCTTCTCTCCCTGTTTCACTCTTGGAAGATTTTCTTCATTGGTTTAAAAATGTTTAAGGATTATTTTAAAATGAATTGAAATTGTTAGAACTTTGTACAATTTGCTAAAATATATAACAGCAAAAGGAGAAATTCAATTTGTCGACTGGATAAAAGTTTATTTGGCTGAATCTGTTCCTCAGTTGGTCCAAGCTGCTTCTTCAGTTCTGTCAGACTCTGGTGACTCTTCCTTATATCTGCAGGAGGAGCAAACTACACTGAAACTCCTCTGGAACTAACACACACTGTTTACAGTTTGTGTTTGTCAGGCCTGTTGACCTGTACACCTCTGGTCCTGACCTGACTCCACCTGTTGTTCTTGTTTGTTTTGTTGGAGGTTTGAGGTTGGACGTGTAAACAGGAGACAGATGGAGTCTGAGTCTGTTTCTTCTTTTCTTTCAGACTCTCAAACAGATCTCAGACTCCACTGTCAGTGACCCAGGTGTGTGTAACAGTGTGTGTTAGTTCCAGAGGAGTTTCAGTGTAGTTTGCTCCTCCTGCAGATATAAGGAAGAGTCACCAGAGTCTGACAGAACTGAAGAAGCAGCTTGGACCAACTGAGAAACACATTTGACCAAACTAACTTTTGTCCACTTCACAAATTGAATTTCTCCTTGTGTTGTGGATTCTCCCAGGACGACTGAGGGATTTTTCACAAAAATATATAATAATAAAAACAGAAAATGCCTCAAAAGAAAATAAAAGTGTCTGTCTCTGTGACGCTCACAGTTCTTTCAGAACAAACTCTGACACTGACCAGAGTCAAGTCCAGGTAAAGTCCCAGTTTGTCAGAGATCATCAGTGACTCTGTCTGAAGGAGACTCTGTGGACACAACATCAGGAGGAGCTCAGGTCCACCAGAGTCACAGAGGAACCTTCAGTCACCAGTCTAAACCCTGGAAACAGAGGCTCAGAGAAGGACGAGGAGAAGGTGTGGATGTGGAACAGTTCTTCATCAGAGGAGATCTGATAGAAGGACAGAGCTCCAGCCTCAGAGTCCAGGAACACGCCCACTCTGCCCGAGGACACGCCCCCTTCACCAGAGGACACGCCCCCTCTCTCTGAGTGACAGGAGTCAGTGAGTCGTGTCATGTTGCTGTTGTGAAGGACAGAGTATCCATCACTGTAGATCCACAGACTCCAGGAGTGATCATTGTTTCCAAACCACTCTCTGTTCCTCTTCGTCTGATCTTTCTGTAACTCGCTGCTATTACAAACCCCCCCGCTCCAGTTCACCTCCCAGTAACAGCGCCCCCTCAGGCCAGTGCAGCTCAGGACCTGATAGTACGAGTCTGTGAACCTGTCCTCATGATCTGGATACTTCTGCTCCTCCTTCACAAGTGTCACAGTTCGATGGTGGTCAGACATCCTCAGGCGTCTGTGAGCTGAGTTTGGGTCCAGAGAGACGTCACAGGAGTCTGAAAACACAAACATGTGAATGTGAGGAGAATGTTCATGTGTGAAAGCATCAGTGGACGTAGAGCTGGAGGCGTTTACAGGAGCCACAAAGAGTTTAGTCTTTAGTGTCATGGGCTTTATTGGACACCACGTGGATCTGCTGACTCAGATAAACCACTCAGGGTTCAAGAGTTTGTTCAACTGAGCTGATGCTTCTACAGATGTTCTCTCTGTGTCTGTAGGTTCTCCACAGACCTGGAGTCGTGTCAGCGTGAACGTTCTCCACAGACCTGGAGTCGTGTCAGCGTGAACGTTCTCCACAGACCTGGAGTCGTGTCAGCGTGAACGTTCTCCACAGACCTGGAGTCGTGTCAGCGTGAACGTTCTCCACAGACCTGGAGTCGTGTCAGCGTGAACGTTCTCCCACAGACCTGGAGTCGTGTCAGTGTGAAAGGTGAGTCCAGTCCCACGTTAAAGTCACAACATGTTTATTTCATGTTTCTGTCATTGTGATTCTCTTATTAAGACACAAAACAAGACTCACACTTCCTCAGATCTGAGAGTTTACGCAGCTCTGCCCCATCCAACCTGAAACACACAAGTCCAGTTTCAGACCAGACCAGACCAGGACCAGACCAGACCAGACCAGGACCAGGACCAGGACCAGACCAGGACCAGACCAGGACCAGACCAGGACCAGACCAGGACCAGGACCAGGACCAGACCAGGACCAGACCAAGGACCAGGACTACACCTGACAGACAGTTTTGTTTGCTTTGTTTTCTTTTAATTTAAAATATTGAGTAAAATAAACTCACGTTTCTTTGTTTGAGGTTTTCTCCACAGGTTCTTCTCTCATGTTCTTCTGTTTCTCCTGCACCAGACTGTGGTGGTTCATCTCGTTCAGACAGTGGAGCAGGTTCAGACTTTTCTCCTCAGACAGACCCTCTTCATCCAGCTTCTGTTTGATGAACTCATGTGTTTTCTGCTTTTTATTTTTCCAAGGCAACAGATGATGGAGCAGGTTCTGATTGGTCCGATCACCTTTTGTCTGAATCAGCAGACCCTGCAGCAGGTTCTGATTGGTCGGCAGAGACAGCCCCAGGAGGAAGCGCAGGAACAGGTCCAGGTGTCCGTTTGGACTCTGTAAGGCCTGGTCCACAGCAGAGCGGTAGAAGGCCTCAGGGTCTGGACTCTCAGAGGAGTGTGGTGTCTCCAGCAGGTTCTCTCCAGAGCTGTAGAAGGTCTGATGGACGTGAAGAGCAGCCAGAAACTCCTGCACACTCAGATGGATGAAGCAGTAGACCTTGTCCTGGTACAGGCCTGGCTCCTCTCTAAAGACCTGTGTGAACACTCCGGAGTACACTGAGGCCGCTGCAGCGTCCAGCCCACACTCGCTCAGGTCACTCTCGTAGAAGATCAGGTTTCCTTTCTGCAGCTGCTCAAAGGCCACTTTTCCCAGAGACTTCACCATCTCCCTGGTCTCTGGAGTCCAGTGAAGGTCCTCCCCTGATCCCTGCTGATACTTGATGTTCTGGACTTTGGCCTGCACCACCAGGAAGTGGACGTACATCTGTGTGAGAGTCCGGGGCAGCTCTGGTTCTGTTTGTTCCAGAAGCTTCTGTAGAACCTTGGAGAGGATCCAGCAGAAGATCGGGATGTGGCTCATGATGTGGAGGCTGCGGACGCGCTCTTGATGTGGGAGATGACGACCGTGGCCTGGTCTCTGAACCTCTTCCTGAAGTACTGCTCCTTCTGCGGGTCGGCGAACCCTCGCACCTCTGTCACCATGGAGACGCACTCAGCAGGGATCTGATTGGCCGCGGCGGGGCGCGTGGTTATCCAGAGGAGAGCGGAGGGAAGCAGGCTCCCCCTGATGAGGTTCACCAGCAGCACGTGCACTGAGGCGGACTCTGTGGGGTCGCTCAGGACCCGGGTTCGGCCGAAGTCCAGAGGAAGTCTGCACTCGTCCAGACCGTCAAAGATGAAGAGCACCTGGAGCTGTTGGAAGCTGCAGAGATCTTTGGATGGACTGAAGAAGTGGTGCAGCAGCTCCACCAGGCTGAACTGTGTGTCTCTGAGCACGTTCAGATCTCTGAAAGTGAAGGGGAACAGCAGCTGGAGGTCCTGGTGGGCCCGGCCTTCAGCCCAGTCCAGACTCAACTTCTGAGTCAGCACTGTTTTCCCCACGCCGGCCACGCCCTTCGTCAGCACTAATCTGATTGGCTGTGGTGAATGTGGGCGGGGTTTAAACATGTCCTGACATGGGACAGTCGTCTCATCGGCCGCTCTCCTGGACTGTGTCTCCATGTGTAGGACCTCATGTTCCTGGTGGTTCTGTCCAGAGTCTCCCACAGTGATGCAGAGCTCTATGAAGCCTTCATCAAACTCCATCTTCTCTGTGGTTCCTCTGATGTTCTCTGTGAGGAACTTAAACTTCTGTGTCAGTGTGGACTTCATCTCCTCCGAGCTCCTCCTGATGATCTCTGTGAGGACACAAACAGAACATGAGACTCATCAGTTTGTCTTTAAGCGTGGACATGGCACTGACACGTGGATCTGTGCGCTGAACCAGATCTTGGAGAAATAGAACTCCCAGGGTTCCACCGTATTCATGTGTCTCATGGACGCGTCTAAAGCCTCTGATCAGATGAACCACAGAAAACTCTTCAACAAATCATCAAACCCAAAAGGTTTTGTAGTGAAATGTGTGTAAAGTGTCTTTAGCTCCTGTGCTGCTGGAGTTTACCTTCAGGAGCTCCAACATTGTCCTGCAGCAGGTTCTCCAGAACAGCAGGGTCTCCTCTTTCCTCAAGGGAACTGGAAATGAAGAAGAAAAGGTTTTGCTCAATAGTTTGATTGTGATTTTAAAGTGAGAACAGAACAAGACACTGTGGTCCCTCATGTGTCCAGTCGTGCTCCATGGAGATTGGACCATTATTTTGTAGATTCAGCTCAAATGTTTCACACTTACGTTTGTTGTTCTTCTGCAGCTCCATTTTGGGCCTGAAAAATAAAATCAAAGTTGGTTTGAACTTGTTTCTTTCTCTAATGTTTCTGTTGTGATTCTAGAAATGAATTTTCTCCAGTCTGATCCCCACAACATTTGAAACGACCAAAGGAGCAAAATGAAACTCCAGAGTGAATACATGAGTGTTAAACTGCTCTACTCTCTCCAGAGTGAATACATGAGTGTTAAACTGCTCTACTCCAGAGTGAATACATGAGTGTTAAACTGCTCTACTCCAGAGTGAATACATGAGTGTTAAACTGCTCTATCCAGAGTGAATACTATAAAGCTCTATGAATGAACTGCTCTATCCAGAGTGTGTTAAACTGCTCCAGATTAAACTGCTCTACTCCAGAGTGAATACATGAGTGTTAAACTGCTGCTCTACTCCAGAGTGAATACATGAGTGTTGTACAGAGTGAATACATGAGTGTTAAACTGCTCTACTCCAGAGTGAATACATGAGTGTTAAACTGCTCTACTCCAGAGTGAATACATGAGTGTTAAAAACTGCTCTACTCCAGAGTGAATACATGAGTGTTAAACTGCTCTACTCCAGAGTGAATACATGAGTGTTAAACTGCTCTACTCCAGAGTGAATACATGAGTGTTAAACTGCTCTACTCCAGAGTGAATACATGAGTGTTAAACTGCTCTACTCCAGAGTGAATACATGAGTGTTAAACTGCTCTACTCCAGAGTGAATACATGAGTGTTTAAACTGCTCTACTCCAGAGTGAATACATGAGTGTTAAACTGCTCTACTCCAGAGTGAATACATGAGTGTTAAACAGCTCTACTCCAGAGTGAATACATGAGTGTTAAACAGCTCTACTCCAGAGTGAATACATGAGTGTTAAACAGCTCTACTCCAGAGTGAATACATGAGTGTTAAACAGCTCTACTCCAGAGTGAATACATGAGTGTTAAACTGCTCTACTCCAGAGTGAATACATGAGTGTTAAACTGCTCTACTCCAGAGTGAATACATGAGTGTTAAACTGCTCTACTCCAGAGTGAATACATGAGTGTTAAACTGCTCTACTCCAGAGTGAATACATGAGTGTTAAACTGCTCTACTCCAGAGTGAATACATGAGTGTTAAACTGCTCTACTCCAGAGTGAATACATGAGTGTTAAACTGCTCTACTCCAGAGTGAATACATGAGTGTTAAACTGGTTTCACCTTTTTGTTCTGTCGACGTTTCCACAGGAAGAAAACCACGACTCCAGCCAGGACGAGGACCACACACACTGAGACTCCGATCACAGCTGCAGGGGCCCCAGGGCCCTCTGCTGTGGGACACCAACACATGTGGAGATCAGACAGGTCTACTGCACCTGTCACTGCACTGTCACTGCACTGCACTGTCACTCACCTGTCACTGCTGCTGCACTGTCACCTGTGCACCTGTCACTGCACCTGTCACTGCACCTGTCACTGCTCCTGTCACTGCTCCTGCTCCAACCTCAGAGTTCAGTTTAACACACTGAGACGTTTTGACGTGCGACAAAAGAACCGCCTCAGATATTTTTCTATGAATGTGTCTCACCTGTCAGACTCACCTGTCAGACTCACCTGTCAGACTCACCTGTCAGACTCACCTGCCTCCTTTGTGCGTCCCAGTTGTGTGCTGGAGATGTAGTTTTGTTGCTGCGTGTGGACTTCACACAGGTACTCGCCCTCCTGCTCTGGGCTCAGCTCCTTCAGACTCAGAGCGCCTGACTCTGACAGGCGCTCCACAAACGGCCTCCAGGGGGCGCCGTAGGTCACGTCCGCTCCGCTCCGGCTCAGGACGCTCTGGACGCGGTTGAAGGTCCAACTCAGGCTCTTGACTGGAGCAGACGGAGCAGAAGAGGAGGAGCAGGGCAGAGTCACGTCTGAGGACATCTCCACTGGAGCTGAGGAAGAACACACACAAGTGAGGACAGGAGCAGACAGGAGCAGACAGGAGCAGACACACAAGTGAGGACAGGAGCAGACAGGAGCAGACACACAAGTGAGGACAGGAGACAGGAGCAGACAGGAGCAGACACACAAGTGAGAGCAGACAGGAGCAGACAGGAGCAGACAGGAGCAGACACACAAGTGAGGACAGGAGCAGACAGGAGCAGACAGGAGCAGACACACAAGTGAGGACAGGAGCAGACAGGAGCAGACAGGAGCAGACAGGAGCAGACTCACGGTTCAGGCTGTAGGTGGCGCTCTTCCAGCTGTGGGTCGTGCTGATGTTACAGGTGAACCTCTGAGGGGGGCGGAGCTCCAGGGCGAGCGAGCTGCTGACGGAGTAGAGCTGATCCCCCATTGGCCGCGTCTGGGTTTGGTGGGCGGAGTCAGGGGTCCAGGTCACGGCGGGCTGAGGGTAGATGCCCTCAGAGCTGCAGACCAGAACGTCTCCTTTAAGCTCCAAGTGCAGGAACGACACGGGACCTGAAGGGGGGGCGCCACAGGAAACACAGAGACATAAAGACACAGAGACACTGAAGTCCTATGAACAAGTCCTGGAGACAGTGACACTTGGAGAGGAACGTCCTCCTGATCTGAACCTCACTCATGTTCTGTTATTGGTGGAACCATTTCCAAGTGTCACGAACGATATCGTCAACGTTACGTGACGATATCGTATCGTGACACTTGGAAATGGTTCCACCAATAACAGAACATGAGTGAGGTTCAGATCAGGAGGACGTTCCTCTCCAAGTGTCACTGTCTCCAGGACTTGTTCATAGGACTTCAGTGTCTCTGTGTCTTTATGTCTCTGTGTTTTCCTGTGGCGCCCCCTTCAGGTCCCGTGTCGTTCCTGCACTTGGAGCTTAAAGGAGACGTTCTGGTCTGCAGCTCTGAGGGCATCTACCCTCAGCCCGCCGTGACCTGGACCCCTGACTCCGCCCACCAAACCCAGACGCGGCCAATGGGGGATCAGCTCTACTCCGTCAGCAGCTCGCTCGCCCTGGAGCTCCGCCCCCCTCAGAGGTTCACCTGTAACATCAGCACGACCCACAGCTGGAAGAGCGCCACCTACAGCCTGAACCGTGAGTCTGCTCCTGTCTGCTCCTGTCTGCTCCTGTCCTCACTTGTGTGTCTGCTCCTGTCTGCTCCTGTCCTCACTTGTGTGTCTGCTCCTGTCTGCTCCTCTGTCTGCTCCTGTCCTCCTTGTCTGTCTGCTCCTGTCTGCTCCTGTCTGCTCCTGTCTGTCCTCACTTGTGTGTCTGCTCCTGTCTGCTCCTGTCCTCACTGTGTGTCTGCTCCTGTCTGCTCCTGTCTGCTCCTGTCTCACTTGTGTGTGTTCTTCCTCAGCTCCAGTGGAGATGTCCTCAGACGTGACTCTGCCCTGCTCCTCCTCTTCTGCTCCGTCTGCTCCAGTCAAGAGCCTGAGTTGGACCTTCAACCGCGTCCAGAGCGTCCTGAGCCGGAGCGGAGCGGACGTGACCTACGGCGCCCCCTGGAGGCCGTTTGTGGAGCGCCTGTCAGAGTCAGGCGCTCTGAGTCTGAAGGAGCTGAGCCCAGAGCAGGAGGCGAGTACCTGTGTGAAGTCCACACGCAGCAACAAAAACTACATCTCCAGCACACAACTGGGACGCACAAAGGAGGCAGGTGAGTCTGACAGGTGAGTCTGACAGGTGAGTCTACAGGTGAGTCTGACAGGTGTGACACATGTGACACATTCATAGAAAATATCTGAGGCGGTTCTTTTGTGCGCACGTCAAAACGTCTCAGTGTGTTTAAACTGAACTCTGAGGTTGGAGCAGGAGCAGTGACAGGAGCAGTGAGCACAGGAGGTGCAGTGCAGTGACAGGTGCAGTGACAGGTGCAGTGACAGGTGCAGTAGACCCTGTCTGATCTCCACATGTGTTGGTGTCCCACAGCAGAGGGCCCTGGGGCCCTGCAGGTGCCCCTGGGGTACAGCTGTGTCATGTCTGTCTGTGCTGTGTCGTCTCTGGCTGGAGTAGAGCTGTTTTGTCTGTAGAGCTGTTTAACACTCATGTATTCACTCTGGAGTAGAAATGTCTGTAGAGTGTTTAACACTCTGTCTCTGTAACAGTTTAACAGTGTTTTCTCTGAGTAAGCAGTTTTCACTCTGTATTCACTCTGGAGTAACAGTTTACACTCATGTATTCACTCTGGAGTAGAGCAGTTTAACACTCATGTATCACTCTGTAGAGCAGTTTAACACTCAGTATTCACTCTGGAGTAGAGTTTAACACTCATGTATTCACTCTGGAGTAGAGCAGTTTAACACTCATGTATTCACTCTCTGTTTAACACTCATGTTCACTCTGGAGTAGAACAGTTTAACACTCATGTATTCACTCTGGAGTAGAGCAGTTTAACACTCATGTATTCACTCTGGAGTAGAGCAGCACTCATGTATTCACTCTGGAGTAGACAGTTTTACACTCTGGAGTAGAGTTAAACTCATGTATTCACTCTGGAGTAGAGCAGTTTAACACTCATGTATTCACTCTGGAGTAGAGCAGTTTAACACTCATGTATTCACTCTGGAGTAGAGCAGTTTAACACTCATGTATTCACTCTGGAGTTTCATTTTGCTCCTTTGGTCGTTTCAAATGTTGTGGGGATCAGACTGGAGAAAATTCATTTCTAGAATCACAACAGAAACATTAGAGAAAGAAACAAGTTCAAACCAACTTTGATTTTATTTTTCAGGCCCAAAATGGAGCTGCAGAAGAACAACAAACGTAAGTGTGAAACATTTGAGCTGAATCTACAAAATAATGGTCCAATCTCCATGGAGCACGACTGGACACATGAGGGACCACAGTGTCTTGTTCTGTTCTCACTTTAAAATCACAATCAAACTATTGAGCAAAACCTTTTTCTTCTTCATTTCCAGTTCCCTTGAGGAAAGAGGAGACCCTGCTGTTCTGGAGAACCTGCTGCAGGACAATGTTGGAGCTCCTGAAGGTAAACTCCAGCAGCACAGGAGCTAAAGACACTTTACACACATTTCACTACAAAACCTTTTGGGTTTGATGATTTGTTGAAGAGTTTTCTGTGGTTCATCTGATCAGAGGCTTTAGACGCGTCCATGAGACACATGAATACGGTGGAACCCTGGGAGTTCTATTTCTCCAAGATCTGGTTCAGCGCACAGATCCACGTGTCAGTGCCATGTCCACGCTTAAAGACAAACTGATGAGTCTCATGTTCTGTTTGTGTCCTCACAGAGATCATCAGGAGGAGCTCGGAGGAGATGAAGTCCACACTGACACAGAAGTTTAAGTTCCTCACAGAGAACATCAGAGGAACCACAGAGAAGATGGAGTTTGATGAAGGCTTCATAGAGCTCTGCATCACTGTGGGAGACTCTGGACAGAACCACCAGGAACATGAGGTCCTACACATGGAGACACAGTCCAGGAGAGCGGCCGATGAGACGACTGTCCCATGTCAGGACATGTTTAAACCCCGCCCACATTCACCACAGCCAATCAGATTAGTGCTGACGAAGGGCGTGGCCGGCGTGGGGAAAACAGTGCTGACTCAGAAGTTGAGTCTGGACTGGGCTGAAGGCCGGGCCCACCAGGACCTCCAGCTGCTGTTCCCCTTCACTTTCAGAGATCTGAACGTGCTCAGAGACACACAGTTCAGCCTGGTGGAGCTGCTGCACCACTTCTTCAGTCCATCCAAAGATCTGTGCAGCTTCCAACAGCTCCAGGTGCTCTTCATCTTTGACGGTCTGGACGAGTGCAGACTTCCTCTGGACTTCGGCCGAACCCGGGTCCTGAGCGACCCCACAGAGTCCGCCTCAGTGCACGTGCTGCTGGTGAACCTCATCAGGGGGAGCCTGCTTCCCTCCGCTCTCCTCTGGATAACCACGCGCCCCGCCGCGGCCAATCAGATCCCTGCTGAGTGCGTCTCCATGGTGACAGAGGTGCGAGGGTTCGCCGACCCGCAGAAGGAGCAGTACTTCAGGAAGAGGTTCAGAGACCAGGCCACGGTCGTCATCTCCCACATCAAGAGCGTCCGCAGCCTCCACATCATGAGCCACATCCCGATCTTCTGCTGGATCCTCTCCAAGGTTCTACAGAAGCTTCTGGAACAAACAGAACCAGAGCTGCCCCGGACTCTCACACAGATGTACGTCCACTTCCTGGTGGTGCAGGCCAAAGTCCAGAACATCAAGTATCAGCAGGGATCAGGGGAGGACCTTCACTGGACTCCAGAGACCAGGGAGATGGTGAAGTCTCTGGGAAAAGTGGCCTTTGAGCAGCTGCAGAAAGGAAACCTGATCTTCTACGAGAGTGACCTGAGCGAGTGTGGGCTGGACGCTGCAGCGGCCTCAGTGTACTCCGGAGTGTTCACACAGGTCTTTAGAGAGGAGCCAGGCCTGTACCAGGACAAGGTCTACTGCTTCATCCATCTGAGTGTGCAGGAGTTTCTGGCTGCTCTTCACGTCCATCTGACCTTCTACAGCTCTGGAGAGAACCTGCTGGAGACACCACACTCCTCTGAGAGTCCAGACCCTGAGGCCTTCTACCGCTCTGCTGTGGACCAGGCCTTACAGAGTCCAAACGGACACCTGGACCTGTTCCTGCGCTTCCTCCTGGGGCTGTCTCTGCCGACCAATCAGAACCTGCTGCAGGGTCTGGTGATTCAGACAAAAGGTGATCGGACCAATCAGAACCTGTTCCATCGTCTGTTGTCTTGGAACAATAAAAAGCAGAAAACACATGAGTTCATCAAACAGAAGCTGGATGAAGAGGGTCTGTCTGAGGAGAAAAGTCTGAACCTGCTCCACTGTCTGAACGAGATGAACCACCACAGTCTGGTGGAGGAGACACAGAAGAACATGAGAGAAGAACCTGTGGAGAAAACCTCAAACAAAGAAACGTGAGTTTATTTTACTCAATATTTTAAATTAAAAGAAAACAAAGCAAAAAAAAACTGGTCTGGTCCTGGTCTAGTCCTGGTCCTGGTCCTGGTCCTGGTCTGGTCCTGGTCTGGTCCTGGTCCTGGTCTGGTCTGGTCTGGTCTGGTCCTGGTCTGGTCTGGTCTGGTCTGGTCCTGGTCTGGTCCTGGTCTGGTCTGGTCTGGTCTGGTCTGGTCTGGTCTGGTCTGGTCCTGGTCTGGTCTGGTCTGGTCTGGTCCTGGTCTGGTCTGGTCTGGTCTGGTCTGGTCCTGGTCTGGTCCTGGTCTGGTCCTGGTCTGGTCTAAACTGGACTTGTGTGTTTCAGGTTGGATGGGGCAGAGCTGCGTAAACTCTCAGATCTGAGGAAGTGTGAGTCTTGTTTTGTGTCTTAATAAGAGAATCACAATGACAGAAACATGAAATAAACATGTTGTGACTTTAACGTGGGACTGGACTCACCTTTCACACTGACACGACTCCAGGTCTGTGGAGAACGTTCACGCTGACACGACTCCAGGTCTGTGGAGAACGTTCACGCTGACACGACTCCAGGTCTGTGGAGAACGTTCACGCTGACACGACTCCAGGTCTGTGGAGAACGTTCACGCTGACACGACTCCAGGTCTGTGGAGAACGTTCACGCTGACACGACTCCAGGTCTGTGGAGAACCTACAGACACAGAGAGAACATCTGTAGAAGCATCAGCTCAGTTGAACAAACTCTTGAACCCTGAGTGGTTTATCTGAGTCAGCAGATCCACGTGGTGTCCAATAAAGCCCATGACACTAAAGACTAAACTCTTTGTGGCTCCTGTAAACGCCTCCAGCTCTACGTCCACTGATGCTTTCACACATGAACATTCTCCTCACATTCACATGTTTGTGTTTCAGACTCCTGTGACGTCTCTCTGGACCCAAACTCAGCTCACAGACGCCTGAGGATGTCTGACCACCATCGAACTGTGACACTTGTGAAGATGAACGAGAAGCAGAAGTATCCAGATCATGAGGACAGGTTCACAGGCTTTAACTATCAGGTCCTGAGCTGCACTGGCCTGAGGGGGCGCTGTTACTGGGAGGTGAACTGGAGCGGGATGGTTGAAATATCAGTGAGTTACAGAAAGATCAAACGAAACACAAAAGAGAGTTGGTTTGGAAACAATGATCACTCCTGGAGTCTGTGGATCTATAATGATGGAAGATACTCTGTCCGTCACAACTGTATCATGACACGACTCACTGACTCCTGTCACTCAGAGAGAGGGGGCGTGTCCTCTGGTGAAGGGGGCGTGTCCTCGGGCAGAGTGGGCGTGTTCCTGGACTCTGAGGCTGGAGCTCTGTCCTTCTATCAGATCTCCTCTGATGAAGAACTGTTCCACATCCACACCTTCTCCTCGTCCTTCTCTGAGCCTCTGATTCCAGGGTTTAGACTGTGGTTTCCAGGTTCCTCTGTGACTCTGGTGGACCTGAGCTCCTCCTGATGTTGTGTCCACAGAGTCTCCTTCAGACAGAGTCACTGATGATCTCTGACAAACTGGGACTTTACCTGGACTTGACTCTGGTCAGTGTCAGAGTTTGTTCTGAAAGAACTGTGAGCGTCACAGAGACAGACACTTTTATTTTCTTTTGAGGCATTTTCTGTTTTTATTATTATATATTTTTGTGAAAAATCCCTCAGTCGTCCTGGAGAATCCACAACACAAGGAGAAATTCAATTTGTGAAGTGGACAAAAGTTAGTTTTGGTCAAATGTGTTTCTCAGTTGGTCCAAGCTGCTTCTTCAGTTCTGTCAGACTCTGGTGACTCTTCCTTATATCTGCAGGAGGAGCAAACTACACTGAAACTCCTCTGAAACTAACCACACTGGAGATGATGGAGTCTGAGTCTCAGTTGATCTGAAAAGAACAGAGAACAGAACTCAGACTCCATCTGTCTCCTGTTTACACGTCCAACCTCAAACCTCCAACAAAACAAACAAGAACAACAGGTGGAGTCAGGTCAGGACCAGAGGTGTACAGGTCAACAGGCCTGACAAACACAAACTGTAAACAGTGTGTGTTAGTTCCAGAGGAGTTTCAGTGTAGTTTGCTCCTCCTGCAGATATAAGGAAGAGTCACCAGAGTCTGACAGAACTGAAGAAGCAGCTTGGACCAACTGAGGAACAGATTCAGCCAAATAAACTTTTATCCAGTCGACAAATTGAATTTCTCCTTTTGCTGTTATATATTTTAGCAAATTGTACAAAGTTCTAACAATTTCAATTCATTTTAAAATAATCCTTAAACATTTTTAAACCAATGAAGAAAATCTTCCAAGAGTGAAACAGGGAGAGAAGATGTGGGACTCTACACCCACTAAACCATTCTTGGATTCAGAAACACTTTTTCTTTTTCCCTGAAATGTTCTTTAGTGTTTTATTGACAGAAACTGTCCCAGTTCTATTGTGGACATATGTGGACAATAATCTGCCTTGTTCTACATCTGTTGTTCCATTTTCCAGAGCTGCCTGGATTATAAAGCTTTCAGATTCTGTTGAAGTTTATTCAACTCCTGAGTCGACTCCGGTGGTTTTTGTGTCTTGTTTGTGTGAGTTTGTCTACAGCTGTGACACTTTCAGTCAAATCAAACATTCTGGGAACAAGTTTGTCTCCAAAGCCACAAATCAAAAAGAAGCCTAAACTTCACAAAGAAGTCGTGGCCTTTTATATGAATTGTTCCTGGACTGAAGACATTTAGTGTAAAAAAGAGTGTGTGGCGTCTCTTCACTTGAGTGAAGCGGAGACACTGATGTGATCAGACACATCGTCTTTACAAACAAGTGAAGGTCCTCAGGAGGCCCATCATCAACTTCCACTGACACAAACAAACGGCTCATTTTGGCTGCGTGTGAGGAAACACTTGATTTGATTTGACCTTTATTGAACCAGGACGTCCCACTGAGATTCAGAAGCTCTTTTTCAAGAGACACGTGTCCAAGGAGCAGCAACACAACAACACAAAAACACACAAATCACAAAGAGTCACATTAGAAAACCATCTGCATCTGTCAAGAAAAACACACTTTTACAATCTTTACAAAGGGAACCCAGAAGGTTCCTCAGTGTGGCTTTGTAAATGAAGAGTCACTCGGGTCTCGTCAGGACAAACATCAGACTTGGGCTGTGTTCAGTTCCTCCAACAGCCTCAGTTTGGACTGGACACTGAAGTTCTGCTTCAAGAAAAACAAGTGTCACTGTGTCCTGTTCTCATCTGTTTGTAACAAGTGTTGCTTATTACTTAGGTAATAAAAGTGTAACGAATATGAAATGATTGTAACTGTAATAACCATGTAGTAACTGTGTTATGATCATGTAATAACTGTTATGACTATTATGTGTAATTAGCAAAGTTGAATGATCAGAAGATTCTAAGTAAGGCTACTGGAGGCAGGGGCAGTAAATTGAGACATGGGATTTGTTGAAAATGAATAAAGTGTATTATACAGGTAGAAAGTGAGACAACAAAATATACAATAGCTGCAGCAACAAAAATCAAACAATTCAGTTAAATGTCCTTGCGAACTGGGTCTGGTTGCCCAGGGTGTGAACAGAGTCCAAACTACTTCAAAGTCCAGTATGAATTATTTTGAGGTTGTATGATGTCCATAAAGCGCGGTTGATTGAATAGTGATGTAGTGGAGGCAGCTGGAGTAGGTGGGAGAGAGAGGATGGTACAATCGACAGCTTCAAGTTCTGCAATGACAGCTGATGGTGGTATCGTTACGTCCTGCCCCGATTCGTTCTTCACAATGACAGGTAACTTGTAGGGTGAACGAGATGGTAGATCAACAAGACAGTTGCTCACACATAAAGCACTCGGGAGGCCTCTTTCCGGATGCTGAAGGATAGCAGACTGTTGGGATCTGGGTGCAGAAACTTTGGCAGAGCCCTCGACAATGACTGTATGGCCTGCCGGAATGACCACAGGTGTCCTACTGCAGAGAGTAACAAGTCCAAGGTTGCTGTTGCAGTCCTTCTGGCACGTCAGTTGAAGAGTTTTTAGAACAACTTTATAACCATAGGAGCTGGGTTGGAAGGTGGATGAATCACTGGTGGAGAACTGATCGTACAAAGCTTCAAGGGTGTTCATGCCAATTAACACAGAGTTTGGGAAATTGGGTCGGACATCGGGGATGACAAGTGCTAAAGTTTGCATTGAGAACTTGCTCCCGAGGAAATCTTCTGGAAATGTGATTGTTGTCTCAACATATCCAAGATAAGGGACATTTTGACCTGCCGCACCTTCGATATGGAGAAGTTCATTGAGTGATTGAATAGGTTGGTCAGACAAATGTGCATTGTAAAATGAGACGGGAATCGTAGTTACTTGTGAACCGGTATCGAGCAGACTTTGACAGAGTTGGCCAGCGACTGTGACTTCCGCTGTGCATCTGGACCCGATCAATCCTTTGGGTACTCTTTTCTTGGCATGGATGCGCGATTGTAACTCTGCACACCGGACATTTTTCTTGACGGGACGGGGTTGGTCCAGTACAGTTCCTGCTTGTCCCTCAGCAGGAACTGGATCTAGTTTAAATGTCCGTCGGTACTTGGTTTCTGCCATCTCTGTTTACTGTTGTACAGTTTCCGTTTTTGACTCACTAAAGTCGGATTTGGGTTATTCATGCACTGTGGCTTGATATGTCCATCTTCCCCGCAGCGGAAGCAAAAACCAGGCTTTGGAGAAGTGGACGTTGCAGGGTTATTGGTTCGTGATGCAGAACGTGGTGGATGGTGACTCCGATTTGCAGTTAGGGATGCAAGTTGCTTTTGAATATTTAACATTTGTTTAGTTAATTGTTTGGTCAGTGTGGTCAAGGCTGCACACAGGTTGGACTCTTCTTCTGACTGTACAAGTTGGGCATGGCTTGTGACTTTATGCTTTGGGCCCAAATGCTGCTTCATTCGGACTGACTTGGCTGCATCTTGGTCCTCTTCAGTGCGTAGCAGCAGTAGAAACTCTGGAAATGGAGGTGGATTATTTTTCTTCTGCTTCAGCTGCAGCTCCACAATCAGATTGTTGTCCCAACAGCCTCGACAGAATTGGGTCAAGAGACATTTATTCACATCCTTTACATAAACTCCCCTTTTCACAGCGTGTTGCAGAGCGACTTGGAGACGTTGCAGGTAAGTGGATGGTTTTTCACCAGCATCTTGGTAAGTATCAAGGAATTTTGCATAAAGTTCATCGCCGTCCTGCACTGTACCATACGCCGAGTCGAGTTGTTCCAAATATATCTCTGGAGGTGTTTCAGAACTGAGATGTTTCACCATGTCCGCAGCTGGAGGCAATAGACTGTCACGGATTAACCCGGTGCGCTGAAGAACAGATATTGCTGGGTCTTTCGGGATGAGTTCAACGCCAGATTGCCACGTGTCATAGTCAGTCTCATGAGCCGGTCTGGGCACTTTTCCAGAGAAAGTTCTCAAGCGATGTGATGGAGGGTAGTGCAGGGAATGATCTCCGCTCCTGACAACATGTTCCACAACATACCGTTGGACATCCGGGGGATTCAAGTCACTTGGTGTCATGTGGATTGTGGGTTGTCTCTCTCTGCCTTGCGTGTTCTCAGCTGTGCTTGAGGAAGTGGGTCTTGGGGATCTTTGAACTGTAGGAGGGCTTTGAGGTTGCTTAATCTGGACACGGTCGGTCGGTAGTGAAGGGTTGGCCGGCTCTGGTTGAAGTTCAGCAATGGACTGACTTAATTGAAGCATCATATCTTGTAGAACTTCTGCATACGGTTTGCCAGATTGTTTTGCTACAGTTTTGAGTTCAGACAAATATGACTGAGTCTTTGAACCACAAAGCTTGAATGCATAAATGTCAGATAAACTTTCAATGTAGAATTTGTTGCCTGTGTCGGATGTGTAAGTATAAGGTAATGGAGGTAGTTTTCTTAACGCAGCACCAGACACGAATTCAAAAACTGTACGCTCATAAAACTCAGATTCAATTTCACCTATGGGTATCTTACGATTGATTTCCCCATACTGGCTTAAAAATTCTGTGACATCATTACACAACGATGAATCAGTAGCCCCGTCTACTAGAACTGCGTTTGGAATTTTAACCCCAAGTGTTTCAAAAACCTCCATAACTGAACTGGTAAGTAAGAATACAACAATTTACTGTACCACTGCCCTCCTGGCTAGCTCGCCAAATTATGTAACAAGTGGTTGCTTATTACTTAGGTAATAAAAGTGTAACGAATATGTAATGATTGTAACTGTAATAACCATGTAGTAACTGTGTTATGATCATGTAATAACTGTTATGACTATTATGTGTAATTAGCAAAGTTGAATGATCAGAAGATTCTAAGTAAGGCTACTGGAGGCAGGGGCAGTAAATTGAGACATGGGATTTAGTGGAAAATGAATAAAGTGTATTATACAGGGAAGTAAAGTGAGACAACAAAATATACAACAGCTGCAGCAACAAAA